TGGTATCTCGATAGTGGCATATCATATCACATTACTTCTCAACTCAGTAATCTCTCAGTCCATAGTGAGTTTCAATGTTCTGAAAAGCTGGCTTTAGGTAATGGTGTTTTATTGTCTATATTACATATTGGTTATACTTACTTTGCTTTGTGCTAATTCTTAGAAGCTAGATCTTTGCAATGTGCTAATCAAGATTACTTCAGGATAATACCATTATTATTAAATTCTTTGCTACTTCTTGCATTATTAAGGACTAGAGAACCAAAATCTTTCTACTTTAGGGACAGCTTAGAGAGGGACCTTACTGTTTTGCTTCATCAGGGCTTCAGACTTCAAAGGCTGTGATTTCTTCTACACCACTTCTTAACTGTTGTTCATTTACATCTCAAAATCCTATAACACACTTAGTGTACAATGTTGATTCATAAATTCTTTCCACACAAATTATGTTACCTGTTGCTACTTCATTTGCTTCTGGTGAATGTAATCTCTTTGTAAAAAATAATAAAAAGATTGATTTGTGGCATTAATGTTTAGGCCATCCTCACGTTGTAGTATTGAATAAATTGCTTCATTATGTTTCTGGTAAAATGGTTCTTTATGTTCCCTTTTTTTTGCTCTGCTTGTAAATTTAGTAATTACTTTCAACAGCCTTTTCCTACTTCTGTAGCCACTTATCCAACTCCTTTAGAGCTTATATATTCAGATGTGTAGGGACCCTAACCAGTTACATCTATAGAAGGCTATAGATATTATGTCCATTTTTCAGTTGCCTTTAGCTACTGTACTTGGATTTATCCCCTTAGAACCAAAAATGCTTTTTCTTAATTTAATATTATGGTTGAGAAATAGTTTCAAGTTCCCCTTAAGTAGTTTCAATCTGATAATGGAGGAGAATTTCAAGGCTGATTCTTCACTTTAAGCAACATGGTATTCTGTATAGATTTTTCTGCCCTTATACCCCTCAACGAAATGAAAAAGCTAACAAGAAACACAGACATCTTATCGAAATTGGATTAACACTTTTGGCTTGGGCTTCTATGTCATTATCCTACTAGTGGCATTCTTTTCAAACGTCTGTAGTTCTTATTAACAAATTTCTAACATCTACCCTAAACCATTTTTCTCCTTATGAAGTACTTTTTCAGCAGAAACCTTCATATATAACTCTGAAAGTGTTTGGTGTGAATGTTATCCCTGTCTTACGCCTTATAGTCATCACAAATTTGGTTTCCATACTTCCAAGTGTATGTTCCTTGGCGACAGTATATTTCATAAACATAACTCTCCAGTTAGTAGCCATGCTTCAAGTCAGCATTCCTCTGTAGTCTCTTCTTCTGTTTCAGAGCATAGTTCTCAACACCCAATGACTGCCTCTTTTTGGTTCTAGTGATTCTTTTTCAGATCCTTCAAGTTTAATTTCTTCCGGTCAGACACACCTGTATCAGTTGATAGCATTGTTACTATTCTTGAAGTTCCATTTCATATTGAGCTTAATATCGGTCCTTTCTAGGCTACTAGATTTCATTCAATGCAAACAAGATCTCTTACCAAGAAGGCTGCATAACAAGCTCACTCTACTGCTCTTTTAGCTGCAACAGTCATTAATCCTGAAGAAGCTTTAGTTTCCCTTCATTTGTTGGATACCATGAAGCTGGAGTTTGATGCTTAAATTTTATCGACGTTAAAGTGTAATAAAGACAACGTATTTGGGGTTTGTAGATAACTTAGAATTTTTCATTGTTGTGATACCAACTTTTAAAATTAAATTTGTAATATGTTATGAATGTGGGATGGTCCTTGTTACGATCTCTATTTTTAGAAGCCTATTTTTCAATGTTATAACTTATAAGTTTATGGATTAGTGTTATGTATCCCATTGTTGTTATTATTAATATTCTATCAATACAAAGAAAAATATTATAAGACTATGAATTAGCTAGAAACTAACTTTTAGATTCATTTCTCCAACTTATCCTCAAACTATATGAAAATGATCCATCTACTTCCAAAGTCCCATTTTCACTTATATTATTTAGGGAGTCCAAAACCACTTCAACATACCATATGAGAACTCTCTGTCATACACAATTCCTTCTTTCTTTTTTAATATTTGTCATGCCAATTATAAAGAAATTAAGCAGAGACTCAGAGATGGCAGCATCAAGGCTCCCCTCTTGGGGCACAATGCCCTTCAGGAACAAGGACACCAATCCTTTTCTTTTGTTTATCGTATCAAGATTGCCCTTTTGTCAAGTTTCTTGCAAATATGGGAACGGCAAGAGATAGAAAGCTATGAAATTTCAGTTAATTTTCTTTTTCACTTCATTGATAATAGCTTTGTTCTTTATATCTTACTCTTGTTTAGCTCTGTTTTTCTCTGTTTTGGCTATTGTTCTTTTGCATTTTCTTATATTCAGAAGTAATTTCGTTAATTAAGCAAAATGCAAACATAATGACCAGCAGTTAAATACATTTGGAATAATTGATCTCTAACCATGTATTATTATTTTATTTAAAAAAGATTAATGATCTCTAATTACATACTGAAAAATAGGGTGACCAGCACCATCTTCTAAAATTCAAAAAGGTTCACTCTCTCTCAAAGTAGATTCATTAATTTCTTTCTTCATATTTTATTTTCTTTGCTTGTTTGAAAAAAGATTATGAAACCATTTATGTAATTTTCAATCCATTGACTAAGTCAGTTCCAAGTATTACATGTGATACTACCTGTGAGCTAGCAAAAAAATTACATGTGAAAGAGCAGTTAGAATTAAAGGTGATATATTTTAAACTCCTCGCTTTATGAATCTCGCATCCTCCTTGTCACACCACATTATCGGAAAGTAAATAACAGTTAAAAGAGTCAGTTTATAAGTCTTAGATATGCTCAACTTAGTAGCATTATTTTAAAACCCGGACCAGATTGGTTGAACGAATCAAACCCTTATCCAGTCTGGGTATATCCTAAACTCAGTTGTAGCAGTTGGACCTGATTGACCTGGGGTTGAATCGACAGAATAGTGCTAAATCGCTAGTCTAACCGTCGGGTCAAAGAACAAGGTCATGCTGATGTCATAGGTCCGACTGAATTTGGATTTTCGATTTTGACAATTTCATCTTTAGATTTGGATTTTCAATTTATTTTATTTATATTATATTGTTATTTGGATTTTGGATTTGGATGGAATTATTTTGGAAATTTATTAGAATTTTAAATTTTTATGACGTCATGTTGATGTCATTGGTTTGATCTGTTATAAACCCACCAGCTTAGCAAGGTTATTTTATATCTTTGTTGAATTTTGGTTAAGATGCTCGACTTCTTTTGCAAAACGTGTTAAGAGGCTTGATTTATGTTGCAAAACGTCTTGGAAGGGAGAACTTTATAAACCCACCAAATTAGCAAGGTTATTATATATTATATATCCTTGTTGAAAATTGGTTTAGATGCTGCAAAACGTTTTGGAAGGTTCAAAGGCTTGATATATTTTGCAAAACGTCTTGGAAGGGTGAACTTTATAAACCCACCAGCTTAGCAAGGTCATTATTATATATTCTTGTCAGAGTGCATTACTCGGTGGAATTTTGGTTTAGATGCTTTTTTTTTTTTTTCTTTTTTTTTTTTGGCAAGTGGGGCCAAACGTCTTGGAAGTGGGAAATATAGAACTTCATTCTGCATTTGTGGAAAAATACTGGTCGCCTAATTGAATTTACTTCACTATGCTGCCCACTAAACCAAAAGTGAGGAGACACTACACGTTGAAGATTTTCAAAGCAGCAGTCATGGCCATGATCTACCATATTTTTCTAACATTAAAAACTACTTTTCCCTGTGAAGTCATTGACTCAAAGTGGAGAATTAACAATCAAGAAAATTCTACTTTATTTAGTAAAAGAAAAATCTTCTTGGTGGGCTTAATTTGTTCTGTGGATGAATAATAAAATATCAGGTGTTTGTCGACTCAACTCTCAAACTCCTTTCTCTCTTTCTTATGAGATAGAAACTAAAAATGAGATAATCCATAACTTCTAAAGCTAAATTCTGGGCATCTCTCTTTCACAGTCCATTGATTGAACCACACGTTACATAGAAGTAGGGAGTTTCTAGGAACCATTTCAATTTGCCTTGTGTATGCATATGTTTTTGTCAAAGAAAAACAACTGCAATATGCAGTTGAATTTAAGTTAAAAGTTTTTAGAAAGATCTTATTCGATCATGCTTATGACTACTGCAGCTTGAAAACTCTGTCTCCCCACTTTTGGATTAGTGGACATTCCATCAGTATCCACATTAATATATTTAAATCACATGGTTACAAACATCATAGTCTTGGCTGAAAGTTAGAAAATTTTTATTCATCCATACAATTAAAAATTATTATAGTCCCATCTTCATACCACTAACGTCTAAAACTCCATCAAGCACTAATCATCTCGTTGTTTATTTATAAGCATCAGTCTTGTGTAATTGTACATGTCACCAAGCCCACACTAAAACCACGCAACATTCTAATCTCATGGAGAGAAACCTTTCCCTTTGCTTTGTCCGAGCTTTCTTAGTTCCTTTTTCAACACTTTCCTTTGTTAATGCGGAAGTAACCGACATTTCCACAGACAACAAGCTCTTCTTGCTCTAAAATCTCGTATAAGCCATGATCCTATCAATATATTAGCCAACAATTGGTCCACAACTACCTCTATTTGTAGTTGGACTGGCATCACTTGTGCGGGCTGTCACCATAGAGTCACAGCTTTGAATATTTCTAACTTGGGTCTCACAGGCACCCTTCCTCCTCAACTAGGAAATCTATCTTTCCTTGCAACGGTGGACATCAAGAACAACAGCTTTTATGGCTCTCTCCCTAAGGAGTTGGCTCACTTAAAACGACTGAAACACTTTTGTTTCAGTTATAATAGATTATCTGGCGAACTCCTTGAAACCATTTTTGATAATCTTCCCAATTTGGAATTGCTTTACTTGCATTATANGGGACATTTCCCAACTCTATCACCAACTTATCCAAGCTCTCCGATCTAGATATTTCAACCAACACATTCTCAGGTTTCATTCCTATTACAATTGGCAATTTAAGAAATCTTGAGTGGCTTAACCTAGCGGATAATTTCTTGACATCTTCTACACCAAATTTGAGCTTTCTTTCCTCTTTGACAAATTGCAAGAATTTAAAAACTCTTGCAGTAGAAAGAAATCTGTTGAATGGCATCCTTTCGAATTCCATAGGGAATCTCTCTATTTCTTTGGAAAATGTTTACATGAGTGATTGCAATATTAGTGGCAGCATTCCCAAAGAAATCAAAAACTTAAACAACTTGATAGATATAAGGTTACAAAACAATGAATTGATTGGGTCTATCCCAGTTACACTTGGTGGACTACAGAAACTCCAAGGTTTGAACCTTGGAAATAATAAATTAGAAGGATCCATCCCGGATCATCTTTGTCATTTGAACAAATTAGTTGACTTGCAACTAGATGGTAACAAGATTTATGGATCCATACCTGCATGCTTGGGTAATCTCAATACCCTAAGAACTCTATCGTTAGCCTTCAACGGGCTAACTTCTATCATACCCTCAACTTTATGGCAACTTAACGACATCTTGCACTTTAATTTGTCGTCAAATTTTCTACATGGATCTCTCCCATTAGAAATTCAAAATCTAAAAGCTGTGGTAGATATAGATTTGTCAAATAATTTTTTGCTTGGCAATATTCCAATCATTATCGGAAACCTAAAAAATCTACAAAATCTCTCTTTAGGATCTAATAGAGTTTCTTTACTTGGGTTTAAATGATTTTAGTGGGACATTTCCCAACTCTATCACCAACTTATCCAAGCTCTCCGATCTAGATATTTCAACCAACACATTCTCAGGTTTCATTCCTATTACAATTGGCAATTTAAGAAATCTTGAGTGGCTTAACCTAGCGGATAATTTCTTGACATCTTCTACACCAAATTTGAGCTTTCTTTCCTCTTTGACAAATTGCAAGAATTTAAAAACTCTTGCAGTAGAAAGAAATCTGTTGAATGGCATCCTTTCGAATTCCATAGGGAATCTCTCTATTTCTTTGGAAAATGTTTACATGAGTGATTGCAATATTAGTGGCAGCATTCCCAAAGAAATCAAAAACTTAAACAACTTGATAGATATAAGGTTACAAAACAATGAATTGATTGGGTCTATCCCAGTTACACTTGGTGGACTACAGAAACTCCAAGGTTTGAACCTTGGAAATAATAAATTAGAAGGATCCATCCTGGATCATCTTTGTCATTTGAACAAATTAGTTGACTTGCAACTAGATGGTAACAAGATTTATGGATCCATACCTGCATGCTTGGGTAATCTCAATACCCTAAGAACTCTATCGTTAGCCTTCAACGGGCTAACTTCTATCATACCCTCAACTTTATGGCAACTTAACGACATCTTGCACTTTAATTTGTCGTCAAATTTTCTACATGGATCTCTCCCATTAGAAATTCAAAATCTAAAAGCTGTGGTAGATATAGATTTGTCAAATAATTTTTTGCTTGGCAATATTCCAATCATTATCGGAAACCTAAAAAATCTACAAAATCTCTCTTTAGGATCTAATAGATTACAAGGCCAAATTCCTAAATCTTTTGGTGACTTGATAAGCTTGGTGTTTTTGGATTTGTCTAATAACAACCTCTTTGGAGTTATTCCTAAATCTTTAGAAAAACTCTTGTACCTCAAATATGTAAACTTATCTTTCAACCGATTGAGTGGTGAAATTCCTACCGGAGGGTCTTTTAGAAACTTCTCGGCTGAATCATTTATGGATAATCTTGCTTTGTGTGGTTCTTCCCAACTACAAGTTTCACCATGTAGAAAAAGCACTCATCGAAAATCAAGGACTAAAAAGGCTCTCCTACCGATTGTTTTGACACTAAGCATTATGTTCACGTTAGTTGCCCTGCTTCTTACATTTGTGTTGATTAAATGCCTAAAAAAGCCCACAAAGCCATCTACCAATACTGATATGTTGTCACATGAAACATGGAGGAGAATTTCTCAACACAAACTAGTGAGAGCAACAGAAGGATTTAGTGAGAATAACCTGCTTGGTAGAGGAAGTTATGGTTCAGTTTACAAAGGAAGATTAGATGATGGGATGGAGCTTGCAGTAAAGGTATTCCACTTGCATCTTGAAGGAGCATTTACAAGTTTTGAAGCTGAATGTGAAGTAATGAGTCGTATTCGTCATCGAAATCTTGTCAAAATCATTAGCAGTTGTTCAAATGATGATTTTAAATCTTTCATACTAGAGTACATGCCCAATGGGAGCCTGGAAAAATGCTTGTATTTTGACAACAATGTTTTGGACATATCCCATAGGTTAACCATAATGATCGATGTTGCATCAGCTTTGGAATATCTCCATTTTGGTTATTCAAATCCCATCATTCATTGTGACTTAAAGCCCAATAACGTCTTGCTAGACGAAAATATGGTTGCACATTTGAGTGATTTTGGCATTGCAAAGCTCTTAGGTGAAGAAGACTCTATGACACAAACACAGACCCTTGCCACCATTCGTTATATGGCGCCAGGTAATTGTTTGTAATTTAATTTTTTTTTTCATTAAAACTTCTTTATTACTTTTTTTTTTCTTACTAGAAGAAAAAAAAATTAATGATTTATATGTCTAATAATGAAAGTGCATGTGATCACTATCAGAACATGGAAGAGAAGGAAAAGTGTCCAAAAAAGGAGATGTGTACAGCTATGGTATCATGCTAATGGAAATATTTACAAGGAAGAAGCCAACAGATGAAATATTTACTGAAGAAATGAGCTTAAGGAGTTGGGTTGGTGAATCATTATGTCACACAGTGATGCAAGTCCTAGACACAAATTTACTAAGAAGGGATGATGAACATTTCTCAAGCAAGGACGAATGTGTGTCGTCTATCTTGAGATTGGCTATGGAGTGTACAAGAGAATCACATGCAGAAAGGATGACCATAAAAGAAGTAGCAACAAGACTCATCAAAATTAGAGTCGAATTTGCAAAAATCGAAACAAGAAGAGGCAGAAGGGTTTTAAATTTACATTAATAGCCTCATATTTTCATTGATAATAAAGTTTGTCCAGGTGATCAGCCATACCCTTGAACCTTTTTTCACTTATGTTATGTTATTTAACCACTGGCTCTTTTGATTTGCAGAGAGAATTGAATGAGCTTGCTGCCAACTGCCCATGAATTGAACGACCTGAGTTTCAGAGAAGCTATGTGTAAAGATGAAGCAACCTTTAACTTTTTCTAAGCCTGTCATGACAACAAGTGCTTGTATTGAGTTTTTGAATTTGATAGTGTTAGAGTAGATGCCCTAGAGCCAATCAATTATTGTAGAATTGACTCTTTGTAATAATGTTCATTAATCAATAAAAGGCATTTTATTCTATATCGCGTAAATCATTATTAGTACAATATGTTTTGATATCTGTCCTTAGAATGGTGGAACCGTGACGAAGGTATCAAGTGTTTCAAATCTTGATAGTGAGAACCCTATGAGCACATATAGTGGCCATTCTAGAAACGTCCGTAGCCCTAGTATTATTCTGAAGTAAGGGCACAGATAATACGGTAAGGCTATCATAGTGTTGAACGACCCTGTCGAGAGGCAGTGACTGATCTCACTTGTCAAGGTTGTTTGGTGACAACCTGGTGCAATACATGGGTGCTTGTTGTAGGCGGATATACCACAGCAAGTTCACTAGACTGACCCACCAGAGGATTCCATATGGATGGTAACCCCAGTGTCTATGGAATAAATCCTCTAACGAATGGTGGTACATGTGATCCTTAGACTTGAGATCATCGGAGCGCCTTATGCATCGATTGGTGCAGTTTGACACTAGCCTGATGCAGTTCTATTTAGAGCTGTCAATACGGTGGTGATTGGCTGCATCAAGGAGTGTATCAAGACTATGGTGGATTGACAGAGGATTCATCACTCCCAAGTACAGGAGAAGTTATCTCACGGCATAATCAGTATATGGCAATGACACTAAAACTGTGGCCACAGTAGGATCGATTTGTTACTCTATCCGATTTATAATACAGGTCATTGGTCCAGAAACTGAATACATAATATTGAGAGTAACCGGAGGTTGACATTATTTTTATGTCTTCGTCTCGTCGAGATACAGTATGATGAAAGGATCGAATTGTACAGAAACCATATCGTTGACAGGTAGCTACTTTGTTGAATCCGAATCTATCGGGTGGCCATGATACCTTGCTAGGGGCCAATCTTGGTCTATGTATTAGTGAGACAATTGATTGATGTTAATCGCGATACTATACATTGCCAGTATGATGAGGAGCCTATGGGTCACACACATAGAAGATAATTTAAGATCCAAGAAGAAGGAATGGCGTTTTCATCTTTTTAAGGCAAAAGGGTATTTTGGTAATTTCACAGTGCAATTAAATTTGCTGAAGGTCGTAGCCTTTATTTAATTAGAAAAATTAAATAAGTGAAATTACGTTTAAATATGTGTTCACATATATTTAATTAAATCATCATTATTGTTAAATGTTAATATATAGATTAAATATATATTAATTGATTTCAATTGAGATAATGATGAAATAAAAATTAAATATCTAATTGGGAGTGTTTGCTAATATGGGGTGTTTGGGTTGAAGCCCAACCCTATTCCATATTGGAATAGGGTAACTAATTTTTACTATAAAAGAAAATTGTTTTTTTGTAAAAAGATTACACTTTTCATTATTTCATTCTCTTGAAAAACACAAACACTGCAGCCCCATTTCTCTCCCACGGCAGAAACCCATTATCAATTCATTTTGATTTCATTCTTCTTTAATCTTAAAGCCAAAGAGGATCTAGCAAATCCCTCTTTGGTTCTTTGTGATTGTCTTCGTGTGGACTATGTCGGTTCGATCCTACGCTTGGGTCAGTAGCAAAAACGTTCAAAGACAAACGTGGTAGAGCCTCCAAATGTACGTATGATTCTCTTAACTCATTATTAACCCTTTTTGTGCAGATTTTACTTTAATATAAATTGTAAAATTATACCCTTGATCTTGGCTCATGTAAACGATCCTTGTATTATATTTTTTTTTTTTGTTTCTGCTACATATATGGATCATTTACTAACAGATAGACCTTAATGTACTGAGGACAAAGTATAACGGGTTTGAAAAGTTTCCCATTTCTAACAAAGATGAATTTATTTTCTTTTATCAAACTTTCTTTTTTATTTTTGCTCATAAAAATGACTTATCATTTACAATATCAATCCCTTTATAGTACACCGATGTAAGCTTTCCCACCATGAAAAAAAAAGAATTGTTGAAAGACAAATTTTCTATCAAATCTCTTACTAATGTCAATCACAAATTTCAGGATCATGATTTGTACCTCCCCATGTTCCTTTTAATTTTGTGGTTATTAATGTGCAATGGTACATTCTATCAGTTTTCAATGAGACATATGTAGCATGATTAAAGCCCACCATGATTGGCCCAAGGTTTTCAAGTTTGAAAGGGTCCTTTAAGCCCATGCATTTATTGTATTGGATCATTTACGGCATTGTTAACGTGGCATGTTCCTTATTATGACCTTTATTTTTAGAAGTTTATTGTTCAACATTATAAGTTTACGTATTGATATTACATACAAGTCTATTGTTGTTATTACTATTATTATTATTCTATCAATATAAAGAAAAATGTTCCCACGATTTTATAATTTAACGACCCTTGACAGTAAGATTATAAATCAGCTTTTACTTATGATTTGTAGATAAATCAGCTAAAATTAGCTTTTAGATGCATTTCTCCAACTTATCCTCAAAACTATATGAAAATGATCCATCTACTTCCAAGGTCCCATTTTCACTTATATTATTTAGGGGAATACATTTCATTGTGTCCAACTTCAACATACCATATGAGAAGTCTCTGTCATACAAAATTCCTATTTATTTATCTTTTTTAATCTTTTCATGCCAGAAATATTAAAAAAAAAAAAAAAAAAAAAAAAAAGGCACAGACTGAGGATGGCAACATCAAGGTCTACCTCTTGGAGCACAATGCCCATCGATGGTTAGTGTATAAATAGGAACAAGGCCACCATCCTTTTCTTTTATGTAATTTGGGACTACTTGTAACAACTAGGTCACTAGACAATGCCAATTATGTTGAATTATTAATGTTTTTCTTTTCGTATCAAGATTTCTCTTTGTGATAAAGGCTTCAACATAGTTGTCTCTAGCCCTATAGCTTCATGGATCATAGCTACTTTTGTCAAGTTTATACTCGGCCTTCCCTGGTCAAGTTTATACTCGGCCTTCCCTGGTCACTGCTTTTACTTGATGTGAGCTATATAAAATGTATTAAATATTCAATCCGTTTTGAGAAACTCAACCTAATATTCAATGCATAAAACACTTTGATCGACTCTTTTCATTGAAAACCATTTGGTTTCTTGGCCGATGAGATAGTAAAGTTCAATCTTGACAAGTGGTATTAGAGCCTAGGTCTTTTTACATCAAAATATTATCTTCAAAAGGCAGGTTTTCCAACAATGCACAATTCACATAACTTAAGACTTTTTTGTTTTTCTTACAAAAAAATCCATGTGTTATGATGTAAGCTGGCAAACCTAAGAGTATATGTGAAAAAAATATCATTAATTGAGCTGAAAAATAAACCACATAGTGTATAAGATATTGAGAGTATCAAATAGGTAAATTGTGTCCCAAATTATTGACACAATCCCTACTTATTACTATTAGGAAGCATGAAAATGTACAAATATATATGAAGTTGTCCCACAAGATAATAGGTACATTATGCAACAAAAATGGAATATTAATAGCTTGCACTTTCTGAGCTCTCTCATGAATGCCTGTTTCAAGATAATAGTTGACCAATAACATAAGACAGTATAACTTCATTTCGTACAACAATGGATTCTTAGACCTTTTTTTTTTCTGGAGAAAATGTCAAAGGAGTTCCAAGCTATCACAATATATGTGACTTGGCCAAGGATAGTGTCAAGTATTGTGATATAAAGTTTAGGTGCCAGACTCTAAAAGAGTGGCTTTAGTTTGCGGGAAAATATTGTAATATAAAGTTAGATGCTAGACTCTAAAACTCTATTTTTCATTTCTATGTTTTAGTGCAGTTTCTGTTTGCTTAGTTTTGTAGAAACCTGGGGTCTAATTGTAAGAATGTAAAAGATAGTTTGGGTTATTTTGTAAACTCTGAAGAGTTATGTAAACGGTGTGTTTTAGTGACCAACAGTAGTATAATTGTGTCGCACGCATTTTCAACTCATTCAATGAACACTTTACCAAAAAGTAAAGTTTGTTACAACAGTTTTTCTCTCCCAACTCTTCTCTGCAATTTTTCTTCATTTCTCTAGATCTTTCTTGAAATTCTACATGGCATCAAAGCCTCAGACACACGTCAATGGCAAATCTGAATCCCGAGTTTTCCAATAACATCTCTAAAACAAACATAGAGCAGTTTGGAAATGCAAACGCACAAACCTAAGCAGTTCAACCTTTGCTTCTCACACTGACTGTGAAATTCACTGATAGAAACTATAATTACTGGCGTTCATAAGTCCTACCGACATTGATATCTCACAAATTGGATGGCTTTGTAACCGGTGAGAATCCCTATCCTTCAATCTTTAAATTTGAGAAATTAGAAGGAAGTGAAGAATTGATTAAGAAGTCAAACCCTAAGTATCATATGTGGAAACGAACTAATCAATTCTTGGTGAGTTGGTTGATTTCTTCTATCTTTGAGTTAGTTTAGACATGTAGGAAAATGCCACAGTGCGTATGAAATTTGGACCAGTTTGGAATTACATTTTCAATCATTTTCAAAGGCAAGAACTTTGTATTTGAGAAATTTGTTACAGACAACTAAAAAAGAGTCACAGAGTATAAATAAATATGTTTTGAGGATGAAG